TGTCATGAAAATGGAAGTCACGTTGCTCATATGTATGAAATACCCTCAACCTTTCTGATACTTGTCTTTCATGTTATATTATATTGTCTGCACTGTAAATAAAACAGGAAATTTTTTTTCCAGCGTTCAAACCAAATATCAGATGCTTCTTGCATTAACTGTGAAGCTGATCTTCTCTTTGTAAAATTGTTATGTTTGTATTCTTGTTTTTCAAGTATACAATAAAGTAAATAAGTATGAGTAGTAGTTTGTATTTTTAATTGTAGTTTATGGAACTTTGGTGCTCCAGTGTACTTTACAAAAGCAAATACACCAACAAATTAGTTTCTCTTTTGACCCACATAAGATGTATTGTAGCCTCTTACTGCGTGCGCTTTCACTGACTATATAAGGATCACGTTGAACCAATCAGTACGGCTCGACACCAAGATCGCAGTCTATTATATTATTGATCACTCAGTCACCCCCACATCATATACACACACGGTCTGCACATGTGTGCACGTGACAGACTCACCCAGAGGGTGAATAGAAGTGTCACTGATTTTATTGATGCATTAGGGGATGAGGAAGCGTGATGAATGCTGCCTAACTGGTACAGAAGGACAGTGAAGCTTCGATTGTGGTGTGATATCATACTGCACCGTAGAATCCAATTTCTGCCAACCAAGCTTGCAGCCACTGTCAGGAAATGTAAACCTGTGCCTACTGCATGTCTCCTTTACTGTATTCGTTATCATTGAGACTGTTGGGAATCGTGACCTTGTAAATGGATGTGTAGTACATTTGGACATGAATTCTTTATGAAGTTTACTACCTAATGCAATTTGATGCAGATTGTATGAGATGTGTTTATAGAACAAATGCAAACTGAAAGATGAATCACTTGTATTTGTTCGTTCTCGTAGAAAGCACTTCTCATCTTTATATTTTGCTACTGTTCTGATCAGTTTTGTATATTGGTGGCAAAATCCTAAACGTGCATGGGGTGTAGAACAGTTTTACATATTACAATCTGTCTAGAGTTAGAAAGAGGTGTCTACCAGACCTTTGTACCACACTCCTCATCTCTGCTCCTGGCAGTTCAGGCTTACATTAGCATCCTGTTGTCCTATTGTACTTTGGCCAGTTAAGCTGCATTATGGGAAATTTAGGTGCCTTGAATGTCTTTAGGTACTTCTATTCAGGCTTTGGCAAAACAAGTTAAAATAAATCCTAGGATGAGTGGAATATTCTGTTAACACATCATGAAAAGAGAAAAGATCCTTTACTTTCAACATCATTGACTGCATATAGTTTCTCTCAGTCCCACCGGACAGTAAAATATACATCCTGAAATAAAACTACATATTTAAGCAAATTTTTACATAAAAAACAGCCCTCTTTCATCCCCAATTTTCCATTTTATTATATTTCATGTAATTACCTCAGGTTGCTGAAACAGCACAGTCTCTCGTATTTGACAGAACCAACAAACAGATAGAAATAGAAAACATAGAACCTCAGCGCCCCAATTTCTGTCCTTCACTGTTTTTCCAAAGCATTCCTGGAGCGACGGATGTGTGTATTTTAAGGTGGACGTTTAGCCTAGCTGGTGATTTGGGGCTGCTGTGGTCGCCAGTCGTGTGTGTGTGTGTCTGTGTGTGTGTGTGTGTGTGGGAGTGTGTGCGCCTCTATGTGGTGCCTTAGGGAATGTTCTACATGTATTTCCTTCATGGGTCCTCATGAGAGTTCACACTGTAATTAGTGGCTCAGTTTCCTGCGACCGAATATTCCCTTCAACTTGTTGCTGCTGGCGTGTCACCCTCAGTGTGTGTCTAGTCTTTGTGTACAAGTGGCTGTTCTTATGTAGAGATGGTAGTGTTTGTGCTGTATACTCATGGTTGTTTCTTTTCTTTCTGTCTTTGTACACTGCTATATTTTCTCTCGGGATCTAGTTACGTTTGTCCAACCGACGTTTTCCTCTCTTTCTTCCCTGAAGAAGTTGATAAGTTTTACTGGCCTGAAAACGACATATTTATTAACTTTATCATATTTTCATGCCAATATAC